AAATGGTGCTCAAAGCACTTTTTGTTGGGTTGAATGTGAGGCATTATTTTTGGTCACGCAGTAATCTGAGAAAGGAGGGCGGGAAAAACCTCAAATGGCAAATTGATGGACATCTGTTGGCTTATTTTAGTTATTTATTTTTGCTGTGGCCGAGGTCAGCTTGATGGGGCTGATAACAAGCAAATGAGATTAGGGGGAAGGTGTTGGTCCAGGCCATGTGACAGACCTCTCCCTGTCTGTCTGCCTGTCTGTCCACTCGGCCTGTCTCACAGCAGAGCCAGATTTTTTTTTAAACGTTCCTCCTTCCATGTTGGGGGTGTTTGCAGCAGTAGTTTGGTGGTGAATGGGTGGGTGGGTTGAGCGGTGAATACCATGCTGTTCTCTGACAGAGCAGGCCTATGCTCTCATTGGCAGCTTGTGACTGCAGCACACATACACGGTGTACTGCATTGCATAGCTGGGTGAATCTTGCGCATGAATTCAACTATTGTGTTGCAAGGAAACCGTTTCTCTCAGAACACCCGGTTACTATTTATATCAATATTATACAATGGTCTGCTGAAGCTCATGGGGCTGTGCTCAGATCTGACCTCTAGGGCCCCGAGGTGCTCTTTTAATTTGGCACCCCATGACCCCGTAGCCCCATGAGCCACCGGTCATGTCTGTTTCAAAACAAGAAAAAGAATCCTTGATTGTCAGTCCAGTTGTTTGAAAGTAATTAATAATTAAGCAACAATGACCCAGAGGCAGCGGATTACAGCGCAATATTGTTGCAGGTGTGTGCCAGCATAGCAAGATAATCCTATGCCTTTCAGTACTTATTGCTTCAATGAACCTGTTTGCAGCATCTGTGAGTTCAACTGAGAGATGTGCTTTGTATCCAAATAAACTGCCTTTCCAGTTCACTACTTAATCTGTGATTTCTGAGGTTATCTAGGTTGGAAAAAATGTGTTTGGATGGACGGATATTTGTATAGTGCTTTTCTAGTCTTGCTGACCGCTCAAAGCGCTTTTTATACTACAAGCCACATTCACCCATTTATGAAACATTTTTTTCACTTTAAACACTCGCATGCTAATAGCTACACGTGGGGGCAATTTGTAGTCCAGTATTTAGAGTATGCTAAGGACAAGCAGCCTGAGAACTGACCTCTGCTCTCCTGAGCAATAGCTTTCTTTATTAGGTCAGCTGTAAAGCTGTTTGTCCTTAAATGCATAGTAAATATGATTTATTAACCGTTAAAGTGAAGGTTAATTGTCAGTAAAAAGTCAGAATGTCATGAAGAATTGCAATTTTTGGGGTCAATGTTGTGACTTTGAGGTCAAACTAATGATTCAAATGAAAACAATGCAACAGTTTTCACCCGAGAGAAAATTTAGTGGAAAACTGTAAAAGGCCTACTTTGTGGCGTTTTCCAAAAGTGCAAGCGATTTCCCACCATGGGCAAATTACAGGTGCGGCAGACGCAAAGGAGAGTGAGGAAAATGAACGTTTACACCGGTTTTAGGTCACCGTTCGCTTCCAACACAGACATTTGTTAAGTTTGGTCGTCGTTTTTCTGCTGGGTGTTGAGTTCTAGCTTGGCTGACATTGTTTTCTGCGGTTGCAAACTGTGAGGGGGGATGAGAGGTGCGAAGATTAGAACTGTAGAGTCCACCTAATAAAAATAAATCTGTTACTTCTGTTTCTGATATGAATGTAGGTTTGCTGTAACTGATCATTATCAAAGTTATCAGCCAAAGACAGTGTAGCAAGTATAAGTAGACTTTTGGTTCCTGTTGCTGCAGCATTTTGTAGTCATGCGATATGAGAAAATGCCTTTACAACAATGTTGTTGTGAAACACTTTGAGAGAGCGCCGTATTCTCTATTGGTCGTCAAACAGGCCTGTTCTGAACTACCTGTTCTGTTTATTTATAGAGAGCCCTTAATGATCTTCAACAAAACACTGAGTACACTGCATTGAAGAGCCCTAGATTTTTGTTTTCTGGGCCGTATTGGAACACTTTAGTGGCAGGGGCAGCAAGTTCCATGATCCAATCAAGAGCAGTTGGTGCTTGTCAGCTGCAGTGGAGAGGCTCAACAAATTACATTAAACAATAAAGGGGAAAACAGATTTGAAACAGTATGGTAATATCAGTGGAGTGCGGGAATGTTGAACATAAAGTCTCGTTGATGGGGTAATTTTTGTGAAAAATAGTCATATTTAAGTAGGTTTTATATCAAATAAATTTCATGGTATGCCATATTTTACAGTACATTTGTTACTTTACTTTATCCCAACTTTATTTCTTCCAAAGTTCAAGAGGGAACTGCTCACTTCTTTCTCTGTCTCGCTCTCGTTGTCCCTCTCCATCTCTGTCCTCTCTGCCGTCCCCCTGCCTCTGCCTGGACTGTGGAAGCAATGCAATTAGACAAACACAAACAGAGCTCTTGAAGCTGGAAAGTGCTGACTGTCCACTGTCCGCAGTGTTGGACAGGGGCGGCGTTTAAAAACATTCTTTTCTTCCTGGCACGTGATTCTTCCTTCAGCATCGTCTATGGCAGCCCAGAAACAGTCGAAAGCAAAAAAGAGAGAAAAAAAGCCACACAAACGAACATTCACACTTGTGAACTAATAAACTCTGTACTTTATTTCATCAAATGGACTTCCTGGCATTGGAATGGAGTTCACGTCGCGCCTTTGTTTGATTGGCTCTGCTACTTTGGGTTTAATCCTGCTGGTTTGGGGAGTGTTTGAGTTGGATTACTCCATCGTTGGGCTGGGGTACTGTTTCTCTGGCTTTGACAAGATGGTGTGTGGTGGTTTGTGTGTGCGTCTGTTTGTGTTTTTTTTTTTTTGGGGGGGGGGGGGTGTCTGTGTGTGTGTGTGTGTGTGTTCTTCCTCACTACCGAATCAGCTGAAACCACAGACAGCCCAACTGGAGCGCTGTCCAAATCCCTCTGCATGCAAATTAAAAACGCAACAATAAACGTGGCAAAGGAACAAGGTGGGCACGCAGGCTTTATGGCCCCCTCTCCCCCACCTTTCTCTCTCTCCTTCCCTCCCTTTATGTCTCTCTCTCTCCCTCTCTTTCTCCCCCTCTCGCCTTCCTCCAAAACCCCTCCTGGGTTTGATGTGGCTTATGGGAGGAGTTGGAACAGGGGACAACCAAACTGCTGAGTTATCTCTTGCATGCAGTGTGGCGGCGTGGCTCTGCCCTCTGTGTGTGTGCATGTGTGTCTGCGTGCAGACCAGCAGCACGGTGTAATCCTGTGGAAATGAAAGGTGCTGCCGCGCACTGGCCGGGAGATTACAGCGCCGCTCTGTCGCGCTGCCAGGACAGACTACCCGGCTGAGAGAGCGGCCCTCTGTAACACACACACTCACACACCTCGCTGTCTGTCTTTGACGCCGCGTTTCCTCCTCGCTGCTTTTTGCTCCGCGGCCATCCCTCCTTCTTCATCCTCTCTTGTTCCTTTACAGCTCTCTTCTAGCTTCACTACAATTTCATGCCCACATCACTGCAGGCCCCCCCACTTCGTTACCCTTCTCTCTCTCCCACGCAGCTCTTCAGTGCGTTATTTCCTTTCACTCTTACTCACACACTCACACACTGGCCTGCTGAGGTTTAGGTCATCACGTCTGACCACGTCACTCAGCCCCTGTAGAGCCCTTCTGTCTGTGCAGTCCTCAGTCTTTCACTCGGCTCCATGAGCAAACATAAACACACATTTAGCAACTGTGACCGTGAGGCGTTTCTGTTTGTAAAGAAATGAAAGGGAAGTGAGATTAGTAGTTAGAATCGAGTAACACCGATGTTGCCAACACTTTAAATAATAGTTTGACCAAGCAACAGTTCTGATCATTTTCTATTTTTATTGTGTTCTCCCTTTATACTGGGGAAGCAACCATTTTAAATTTTTCATATTTTGAAAACAAAACGTAGCCTGACTTTGCTAAGTCTTCATGTTTTTGCTGATTACGTGGATGTCAGTCGACATCAGCAAAATCTGATGGTACCAATAATAAGCTGACATGTTGGTGCATCGCTACCTGCAGCTGTTTTTATGAGCAATAATCCTGCCCACTGATTTATTGGTCATTTCAATTTATCATTAGATTCATATGTGTATTGCATCTTGATCTTCAAACATCCAATGAACACATGAACTCGAACATCTTGATTATTTTAGCAACTGATTAGTTCCCTATTTAAACAACAAAAAATTAATATAACAAAGAATAAAATATCAAAGCAGTATGACCAAATGATGCGATGTCTCTAAAAGGAGACCAACTTTTATCATGCATGTTCAAGTCATGTTGTCAAATACATGTGTGTGTGTGTGTGTGTGTGTGTGTGGGGGGGGGTGGGGGGGGGGGGTTCTGCCTTCCCCGCTGCACTTTGAGTGTTAGCGCTTCCTGTGTCGGGCTCTCGCTGAATCTTTTAATCACCAAGGTCAGACCTCTTTGTGCATTGTATTAATCAAATAAAGCCTTTTCTAAGTGCACTTGTCTTATACTGTTCCTCAGCTCTGTCTTTCATGGCCCTCTGCTGGAGCATTTTAAACATGGGAGTCACTCACTTCCTCCCAAGGGTGCTACTCAATATGCCAGTATGTCTTTCTTGTCATATTAAAATGTTCCCTCCTGCTGTGCTGCTTGACCTTGTCTACCTTACGTCTTCATCTTCAGCTGTGTAACCCAAAAAAGCCCCAATGGTGCATTTTATGAGTGGTTTTCGTTTTATTTTGTTCATTTTAGTGAAAAAATGTGTTAATTATTTTGAAATGGTGTCACAGTGGCTTTTTCTTCCTCACAGTACTTTGATGCTTCCGATAGAAGCAGCTCTGTTTTAAGGTTTCGTAGTCTGGTTGATTGTTTGGCCTTTTTAGGGCTGCAACTGTGCTTAAACATTTTGGACATCACGGTCCGAATTGCAGTACATTCTATTCTTACTGATTTGTATCCTTTTTCTCCTTCCTTCTCCCTCCTTCCTTTCAAATGTTTTGTCCAGGGCTGGCTCTGTGAGCTGCTGCGCTGGAAAGAGGATCCGTCTCCAGAGAACCGAACACTCTGGGAGAACCTCTCCATGATCCGACGCTTCCTGAGCCTCTCTCAGGCCGAACGCGATGCCATCTACGAGCAGGAGAGCAGCGCCGGCCAGCAGCACCACAACGAGCGGCCGTCGCACTTGATGCACATTTCCAGTGACCAGCTACAGGTGAGTGTGATATTTTTCACAAGATTATGACCTGAGCCAGTGCCTTTGGGCAAGGCACCGAGCTAAAACTACAACAGATGTGTTCCAGAACATGAATATTGAATCACAGCAATATGTTTCTGGGGCTGAATCCACTGGTTGGCTGTGGCTGATCACATGTTGGGTTAACTGCTTATTCTAAACTGCCCTTAGGTGTGGATGTCAAAGTAAAATATAAGGTGCTCCCCTCCCCCAGCTGTTAAAAAAATGGATAGATGGATCACTAATTGCTAAATCAAAGCAATTTGATTATTTGTGCTTGTGATTTGGATCTCTTTTTGGTACAATTTCTTATGAAAAGTAGTTTAAAGATATTATGTAACAGTGGAGAGAATCATTTTTAAAAATCCTAATGAAGTCTGATTATTGTATCTGTGCATATCCTGTTTTCCAAAGGTCTGTGTCAAAAATAATTTAGTTTAAAAAAAAAGGGAAACCTTAATTTTCCCCATTTGACTTCTTCTTTCAGTAATTCTAACCCTAACAGCACTCAGGAGTTTCTGCGAACACATAAATTAACAACACTGCAACACTTAAAAGTTGCTACTTTTTAAGCAAAAAACGTTTTCAAAGATATCATTAGGCTGAACTTGCTTAACAGAGCTGCTTTATAAGAGACATCTGGCAGATGAATAGAAAATAACACACAGGCTCGGTTAACGGTCGAAACATCTTAATGAAGTACAATAATACTTCTATTAAAAGTCTGAGCCACAGCAGAGTGGTTGATTAGTTATTTGGTTACTTGGATACAATGGCAGCGTTTCACAAAGACTGTCATTTAGTGGATATAAATAAGGTAATAGGATTTCTTTGACAAATCAGTTTGAGCAGCAGATATGGAATGAGGGAATTTTGTGCATACTTTGCATGCAAATGCAAAACGGTTGCAGATTGATAAAATAGGATTATTTCTGATTTAATGGTGCAGTTTTACAGTGTCCATAAGAGACTGGTGTTTAACTATTTTGTGCTGCTCTTTTACTAACGTGATACATTAGCCAAATTAGCTCACATTTGCTCAACAAGAACTAGCCCGGCTCAGTATATGGATACAGTAAAAATCACATCTTTGGGTGCATTTATGCAGCTGGCAAGCAGAGTCCCTGCAAAGTGCTGTTTTGCAAACTTCATTATGAAACACCTATCTACAGTGTCTGACTCAGAAATGAAAATAAAAGAGCGCCCATTTTGCAGGGTCAATAGAGACCACGAGTTGCCCACTCACTCGCTCTCCAACCACACAATGAGACATTTTACGAGTAATGTGTCATGTGTTTACACTAACGGGACTCTGACGGCAGAGCGAAAGCCATCGATAGCATTCTCACACGGCGGCAAATCAGCCAGACCATCGCGATGTGAATTGTGCACAGGGAGCTTGTTTATCACTGCCGGGCAATAGAGGCCGATAAGCAGCACAGGATATAATAGAGAGGCCAGTTTGCCTGTGAATTCCCAGTGTGCGTGGAGCCGATCGTGTCACTCATGTGTACGAGTGTATATGCTGGTGTGGGGCTGTTGCCTCCTCTACCTCCACAATGAGACTCAAGCTCCCACTACCAAAAAAGGAAAAACATCATATCTGCAGAACTGATTGCATTCAATCAGATATTACATGGAAAATTCCTTCAACCAAGTGCCTGTTCTATACACAGCAGGCCCATTTTTCCTCACAACTCAATTGATTTTAATGAAAGGCCTTATTAAGGCGCCGATAAGTGTTCACTGATAACATCCCCATCTCCTTTCTCTTCCCTCTTTCTTTTTTTTTCCTCACTGCAGGCTCAGCCGCCTCAGACACAGCAGCAGCACCAGCCCTCCTTGTCCCTCCACCCCTCCCAACAGCCCTTGCAGCAACAGCAGCCCACCACCGGTCCCCGGTTGCCACCTCGCCAACCCTCCACCGCCTCTCCGGCCGAAACGGAGGACGAAGGCAGCCGCGGAGGGAGCATCAAATCCCGCACGGGTGGAGGCAAGATCTCCCTGGAAGCTCTAGGTATCCTGCAGAGCTTCATCCAGGACGTGGGCCTATACCCCGACGAGGAGGCCATCCACACCCTTTCAGCCCAGCTGGACCTGCCCAAGCTCACCATCATCAAGTTCTTCCAGAACCAGCGCTTTTATGTCAGTCACCCAGCAAAGGCACCCAAGGAGCCCATTAACAACAACAACACCACTATTGCAGCCATCGTCAACAACACCACCAGCAGCAGTAGCAGCAGCAGCAGCCCGGCCTTTGAGGAAGAGCTGACGGACTTCAGGGAGAGCGGAGAGCTGTTGAAGGAGCTGGACGAGAGCACGCAGACCAACAGCACCATCTTCTCCATCAAGATCGAAGAGCAGCTGGGCCGAGGTGCCGAAGCCCAGTCCGAGTCAGAGCACGAGGCCAAGGAGTAGGACTCTCCCCCTGAAACATGTACTGAGAGTTTTCCTGTGCACACAGACTGGTGACTGTGCTAAATGTAACGCTCTGGCCGCCACAGAAACACCACACTGCAAACAAAGAGAAGTAGTGTTTTCAATCAGTACAGCATCTGGACTGTATGAGGAGTGTTCATATATATATATATATATATATATATATATTATATATATATATATATATATATATATATATATATATATACACACACACACACACACACACACACACATATGAACTCACAGTGCGAAATGAGTGTTCACACACTGGAAAGCCCATTTCAGACTCAGTAATACAAAAAGTACTACTTTTTCGATTTTGTAAAACTTGTATTATTCACTGTAAAGACTGATGCATCGTTTAAATAATCTGCACAAAAAAATTATTAAGTATGTTGCCGTGGATATTTGCTGACTGCACTCTATGTCTGTTGTTTTACACTGACTTACTTTATCTTTTTGAGCTACTGATTATATTGAAAAAGGAAAAAAAAGTTCCCCTGGAGTTTGCTAGGACTTCGATAGGTGTTTACGTATGTGATGTTTAACTGGATTCTTTTTTTTTTAAGAAAATAGCAAATGAAATCAAGGACCATGTGGATGACAAGGCCTTAATTATGAGGTATCAAGTCTGGAGCCTGCTGGCAGATTAGTTATTCTTTTTAAAAAGCGCATAATGTGATTATGGATCACTCCAAACTCTGGAACGCGATCACCCAGCCCAGGTGCATCTACGAGAATAGCTCAGTCTCTTTACATATTATTTGTTAGGGAAGAAATATAAATATATATATATATAGACATTATATTGTAACTGTAAAAAAAATACAGTCTTAAAAAACTATGCCAACAAATGCCTTGTACTATACGGCACTGCCGATGTTAGATTATTTTGCAAAACCTTTGTCACTGTAACTTTCTGAATTGACACACAGTTGGAAATGTGAATTTCACAATGTTTATGTTGTCTGACATTATTTATTTGCAGTTCATGCAGTGTTTCTGATGTAATTACTTTTTCTAAAAAAAAAACTAAAAAAACAGTTTATGTTTCCTTGTGCGCGCTCTCTCTCTCTTTTTTTTATTCCACCGATCTTGTTTCTATTTATAAATGTAATTTCAGTGGGCAGTAAAAACAAGAAGTGTCTTAAACGTTTTAAATGGAGAAATGTGCTTTAAAGGTTGCCTATAAAAAGTGCTGTATGTCAAGCAACTCATGCTACAAGCTTCACAATTAATGTTGTATGCAATTTTTACTATCATGCAAATAAGCTTAGGTAAAATGACTAACCTATAGAACACCTTAGAAAGAAAAACATATGCAATCTGTGTGAAAATCGATGTCTGCGATGTGTCTTCCTTTGGTTAAGAATCCAATTCAAAAAGCTACTCCTGTATAAATATTCTGTAAAAAAGTGTTTCTTTTTTATGAGTTCATTTCAATGAGAACACCAGTTATTTTGTTACGACTGACTGTTTTATAAGTGTTTCTCGGTTCCTTTCGGCAGAAATGTTCTAACTAGAAGTGGTTATTGATTGTTAATTACACAATTAAACTGTTTGTATTGTACCACAGATTTCTTGGCATTAACTTGACCAGGCTCTTTTGACACCAGAGGTGTGTTTGTCTCCTCTGGAAACAGGAGAGGAAACAATGTGAAATGGTTGTTTTTTTTTTTTGGTTTTTCTTGGTTTTCTTTTTGCTTTTTTCTTTCAAGTTCTGCTAAGAAAGAGCAACTCCAGTTACTGACTCATTCCGCTGCGATCACTGAACCCATGTCACTTGTAATATCTGTAAATATCACATCTTATGAATCATTAATTGTTTAATATTGTAAATATATTTGAAGTTTGTGCAAAAGCTCACCGTACAAAGCTGAATCGCCATTCTGTCGTGCCTCTTCCTCCCAAACCGACTGTACCGGGGCTCTTCTGCTGCATCTCCACTTCTACATGCTGAGTGTATGTGAACCACCTTTGAAATCTAAAATAAATAAATGTTAGGTGTGAACACCTGTAATAGCAAAGCCCTCTGCAGGAAGTTCGGCTATAAAACAGCGCAGGTGTCCTGACCTTGCCGTAAACCCCAGGCGGGGCCAGGTGTCTACACCTTTAGGAAATTACCCCCACCCGTTCACACCCTGAGATATGTGCCAGCCTGTCTGGGCCAGCGTTCCCTTTGTGTTGTGCTGTTTTTATCCCATAAATATAGAAAGAAATCCACAGTGCAATGTTGTGTACGTTCACGGGAAAAGAACAATCAAACGAAACAGACAAGAGGACATCCTTTTGTCAGAGGTGATCAGAGGGTACACGATACGTGTTAAGAGGTGATAAAAAAACATTACCGCATGTCACAGAGCAAAGAGGCGCCATTATGCTTCATTATTTCTCCATTTTGACATTACAAATGGCTTACTCACTGACAAACAGAGGTGAAGGCACCAACAAACAGGAACTCTAGCGTAATACTCCTCCTCATTATCACTGTTTTCATAAGGATCAGCTATATTTGCCGCACGCTTACAAAAGGTTTTTCTACACAGATGGCTAATACTTTGCTCTAACAGTGGTTCAAGACTTGATTTCTGATGTTTTCTGGAAAAGTTCAGCTATAAAGTGAAATATCCTACAGAGGGGTTATCCGGTGTTCTCCAGCAGCTGTAAAAAAAAGTCTTCGGCAAACATGGTGTTATTTCAGGGGATCGTGAGATGAGGAGGTTTGCCATGACAAGAAAGAGCCAGTTCTGTTTCACCATGGGTGGGTATCATGGGTGATTGCTCAGAGAAGACTGGCAAGCACCGAACAGGTTTGATACTCCATCTCCATTAGGCTGTTCGCTGGCTCTCCACGGCACCAAACACACTTCAAAGACTTTCCCTGATGTCAAAATAGAAATCATAATTACGACAAGAATGGTGACTGATGAATCACTGACTCCGTTACCCCCGGGCGCCTCATGCTGTTGCTTATTTAGAAAAAAATTAGCAGGCTACACAAATTTACCAGAAAGCATGTAGATGACGCCACATCATACTGTGGTATGCCGCCGGTGGAGAAAGAAGCCCAGCAGATACAGTGTCTTCTTGTGATATTTGTAGAAATCCTCAGCGTCAGAGCAAATAAACAGCTTCCACATAAAGACGTGGCTGGCAGACGGTGGGCTGGAGAGGCTGAGGTCAAAATGCCAAACAAAGTTTATTTTTAACTAAATTCACAGGTATGTATATTTGGATGTCACAGGAGGTATCCAACTTTAAGCGGAGATATCATGTCACATATAAAGTGATATTTTACCTGCAGGTCATAGGAGCTTAATGGAGTTGGTGTAGAGCTTTGCCTTACATTTACACAGGCCAGGCATGGAAGTTCAGCAATAATGCAACATACACAAAAAAGTCTGTTTTTTAATTGCGTGTCAGTTTTACATTCATAAATATATGATATATATTTTTTTTTTATTACATATATTTTTGACTGACAACTATTCATCTCAATTAGGTTTAGTACTTTATGTTGAAATTATGTTATCCAAATGAATGGAAGATGCACATACACTTTTAATATTTGGTCCAAATGTGTTTTAATATATACAAAAGCCTGTGATGTAACAAAAAAAAGGACATTGTCAAAGTTGATAAAGATTTTTAAAAAGCTGCACTTAATATTCTTTACAAATGTGTCATCTTAATGTAGTATCTTCTTTTTAGCATGTTTTCAGAGTTAAATTATTTTCTGTCTGATAACTAAATATGTCAGTGCTGTGCTGTAAAAAGTACCTTCTGTGCTCCGTCAAAGAGAAGCTCCTGAGTGAGGCCTTTAATTCCAACTGCCAACATGTCAGATTGTCGTGCTGGACGGCTTCCAGGTTTGTGGTGAAAAGTGTTTAAGTACAGTATTTTAAAACATTGTACACAGCTACACTCCACCAGCGCACAAATTGAAAAAAAAAAAAGACAAATGGTGGACAGAAACAGAACTGAAGTGACAATTTAAAATCAAACATCCCTGATGAAAAACCTACAGTAGGAGTATGTTATCCCACTAATGTGTATTTTATATTTCTGGGCTGCACAGCTGCACGATGGACACATTCAAAGAACGTATACATGCTCCACTGAACACAACCCCCCAGGGTACATGCAAAGATGTCAATCAACAATGAACATTAACACTTCACAGGCGATTTGAAGGAAGCAGGAGTTTGAGCTTTCTGAATGCAGATTTGAGGGGATGCATCATATTTTGCGTGTGTGTGTGAGTGTTTTTTTTTTTCCACTTTGTGTTATCATAACAGACACTTAGCAACTCTGAAAAAAGAGCTCTGAAAGTGTCTCAGTGTTGGGTAAACCAGGGGATGGGCTCACGGCTTGGCCCGGTCTCTCACAGGCTCTGTTTCGTAATCGTTCACGTGATATTTGATCCAGTGTTTGTACTCATCAGACTAATAGTCGACGTTCAGCAGTTAGAGAGAAATTCTGAGAATTTTACAGCATCATGAGGTGGTATAATTTTATTTCTTAGTGCTGGGGAGAAATAGGACATCTTACTTGGAAAACAGAGGTTAACATAAGTTTTGTGCAAAGTGGTTGTGACATAGAGCATGACCTTAAAACTTCCATGCAAAGGAAGCATTTTAAACTTCAAACATGGAAGGAAGGTGGACTGTGTACACGATGATATATGACTGATTCAAATAACACTCAAAGATATGCAGTTTTGCATTGCTTCAGACCGTGTGTAGCTTATTGTCAGCTTTTATTATTTATTATTGTCAGATCAATCGTCAAGGACTTTCCAAGTTGCAGCAGAATCCAATTCAATTCAAGTTTTCAATTCAGGCTCATCTATATAGCACCAAATAACAACAGCAGTCTCCTGAGGGTGCTTTGTGTGACAAGGAATAACACAGAGAAAACCCCAACAAGTAAACGACCGCTTCTGAGCAAGCAACAGTGGGAAGTAAAAACTCCCTTTTAACAGGAAGAAGCCTCCAGCAGAGGGAGGGGCAGTCGTATGCTGTGACTGGTTAGGGGCGATGGGAGGAAGACAGAACAAAAAATACACTGTGGAAGAGCCAGAGATTATTAATAACTAATGATTACATACAGAATGGTGTATAAATACATAGAGAATGAAAG